TCCATTCTTGGAGTTAGAGAAAAGAGGAGGAGCGGGCGGGTAGGTGGGGGCAGGGGAAGAGGGCACATGAGAGGGGAGAGACGTGAATGACACGTTGCTTGTTATTCTGAGAAATTAGTATTTGCTGGGTGGGGAGTTTGCCTGTCCTCCTAGAAGAAGAGAGGAAGAAAAAACACACTGTCCACCCCACCCCGCACACACACCTGTGGCTTTCTAAATTGTAGCTGAGTTTTTTCTGATTTTCAGCTGCTTAAGAGTTTCCCCTAGCAACCGTTTGTTGCCAAGCAGTTTTTTTTTTAAGTGCTAGAAATCAACTAAGAATAAAAGAGGAATTTGAAAGGGTTTCATGGATGTTTCTTTTTGCACATGCCTAAGAAGTTGTAATTAATGTCATTAGTGGATTATGACAGTTGCTGGTCTTGACCTAACGTTCTGTCATTCAGAACAGAGATGGTGATGCCACTTGCTCTCCACAGGGGGCTGGTCTGTTTCCCTCCCCTGTAGTAGCGGTAGACTGTACCTGCTCTGCCCTGGGCACCTGCAAGGTCGGCACATCTCATGTGCATTGGATGGCTACACGGGCAAAGTACAGTCTCGGGCCATGGGAGGGCAGGGTTGGACTCTCATTAAGGACATGTGTTTGTTTATAGGGGATTCTATCTACCTCAAGGGACTGGATTCACCTGTCTTGGCTTCCTCTGGAGGAAAATAGATGCTGAGCCAGGGACTGCAGGGCAGCAGGGGAGGGGGTGGGAGGGGAAGAAAGGGAAGACCTGGCCGGGAGTCGGGGAAGATGAGGGCAGCAGCCTTCACCTTGTACCTCTACCTGAAAAGCTTGAATTGGGTTGTGATGCCTCCAGAAGAGTTACTAGTGACGTTTCCAGGGTTTTTGATGAAGCCTCTTTAAGGTGCTTTCAAAGTGGGATTCTCATCCAGTTTCTGAATGTGTTTGGCACACTCCCAGTTGTGTTTTGTGAGCAGGGCCTCTGCGAAGGCTCTCTACTCAGAGAGTTCATTGAACGGCTGTGTTGTGGAAAGTGAGGAGCTCTGTCCATCCCAGAGATGGGGAAGTTGAGGCTCATCTAAATACATGAGGGGGTAGTGCCTTTCTGTTTGAGGCCCCAGTAGAAACATCCTCTGCAACCCCAGCGACAGGAATATTGCCATCATCCAGGGGTAAAGGGTTTAGGTTTGGTGTTCCCAATTCTCACAGATGGCTTCTCTTTTCTTGCAAAGGGTTTTACTGTCTTACACCACCAAGGCTTCTGAATAAAGCATCTTGTGGTAAAGTATGTTTTTGTTAAACTCGTATTAATGTTGGTGAAATCTTCGTAAGGCAGGTTTATTCATCAAGGGTGATGTGCTTTTGTTATAAAGATGCCGTGGTTTAGAGGCATCATCAATAGCTCCACTGGGGGAAATGCAGAATTCTCATTCATTTTGCTTAATGGACCGCTTTTATGGTAAAAATGGAAAATGTCTTCAAGTAATTTTATTAATGCCAGATTAATTTTTTTGATTTTCCCTGTCTTCAATGAATTCCCACATAAAGCACATTAATTTTCTCACGATCCAAATTAGTCAAAGCCTCCTTTTACCTAATTATTTATGAACTACTTTTGCAGTCGTATAGATTTTCTTTCTTGAGGAACCTATGACACCTCAAACTATACCTCCCCAAATTGAGTCCCACTTCTCCCTCCCTCGCCTGCTCCACCTGAAGATTAAAGTATTGTTACCCAGCTGCCCAATGCCATTAAAATTACAGCCCAGGCCTCATTCACCCCTGGTTTTTCTCTTCTTCCGATTCTTCCACATGGTGATATTTCACAAGACGGGATCTTTCTCTGGGTGCTTCTTGTGGATAGACAATCCCTGTTCACATGTTGCTACTTGGCAAACATAGTTTGTGTGTTTGCTATTCTTTACTGGCACAAAAGTTTTTTTGTTACTAAAACTTTTGCTGGTTTCTGATGTTTGTGTGAAGCCCTACAGTATGCGTCTTCATGAGGTGATTGAATATCATGGTTTTGAGCTCTGGCAGTTCTGGAAATACGGCAACGTTATGGAGTATATTTTAATTTTTTAAAAAATTTTTTTTACCGTTTATTTATTTTTGAGACAGAGAGAGACAGAGCATGAACGGGGGAGGGTCAGAGAGAGAGGGAGACACAGAATCTGAAACAGGCTCCAGGCTCTAAGCGGTCAGCACAGAGCCCGTATTTTAATTTTTTTTAATGTTTGTTTATTTTTGAAAGAGAGAAAGCTTGAGCAGGGGAGGGGGCAGAGAGAGGAGGGGGGGACAAAGGATCTGAAGCAGGCTCTGCACTGACCGCAGCGAGCCCGACGCAGGGCTCAAACTCACGAACCATGAGATCATGACCTGAGCTGAAGTTGGACCCAAGTGCCCCGAAGTGTATCTTTAAAATTATGCTTCCTCTGACTTTTTTCAAGGTCTGTGATAATTTTCAAAGCATCAAAACTGCTCATAGAGTCAAAATACCAGCTCCCATGCACGTATCCCTGCTTCCTCCTGGTGGTGGTGGTTTGCTTCATGTTCTGCTTTGAGGCAGGAGAAGATCTGGCTCAATTTGCTGTTTCTGTATTTGACCTGCACCTGGCGGACCCGCGGTTTGGGAGCGGTGGCCCCAGTGCCTCCTGAGTTGTCAAGGAAAGATGTCATCTGTGCCGAGCCAGCCCTGACGCTTTGTGCTCTTCCTGCAGGCCCATTCATCAGCGTGGTCCTGTCAAAGCTGGAGAACATGCTGGAGAACTCTCTACATGTTAATTTGCTGCTTATCGGGATCATCACTCAGCTAGCCAGCTACCCGCAGCCTCTCCTGCGCTCCTTTCTGCTCAACACCAACATGGTCTTCCAGCCAAGTGTCCGCTCCCTCTATCAGGTTCGTTAGCTGAGCCCATATCCATACCTGTTGATTTTATGGGTGCTAAGGAGAGGGCTGCTTCTCTCCTTTCCTCTGTTATTTTGTTGGTTTTCTAAAATCCCTCGGTTCTAATTCATTTGCTCTCCTTCCCCGTCCTATGACACCAGTTGTGTGGATTATTCTAGACAAACTGCAAAGCTTCATTTAGCTTGATGTTTCGAGGGCGCCCTACCAAGAACACCCAGGCAGTTAAAAACAAGCAAATGCCTGATATCATAAAAGTTCCGGCAGCGAGGGCTGTACCGGAAAGATGTATCGATAACTGAGGGTGGGATTCCATTGTGAAGCATTAACATCATTAATGTCGCTTTTGACAGGTCCTTGCGTCTGTGAAAAACAAGATTGAGCAGTTTGCTTCTGTGGAGAGAGACTTCCCGGGGCTCCTCATACAAGCCCAGCAATACCTGCTCTTCCGAGTGGACATGTCTGACATGACCCCTGAGTCACTAACCAAAGGTAAGTCAGGTGTCTCCTCTGTGTCTCTCCTCCAACTGTTCTTCCGTTTCCCCAGCCTCCTGACTTGGGCTCACAGATGCTGTGCTGGCTCCTGGGCCTTAAAAGCATCTAAATACATCATCATTTTCCCCAACAGGGGAGAGCCGCCTCTTCGCGTTCTGAAACCTAAAGAAAAGTCTCCCCTGCTTGCACCTGGCCTGCTCCCGGCTGGGAGGACTTAGTAGGACATTTGCTTGCCTCCCCGACAGTGGTCAGGGAGGAGTGCTGCGTGTTGTTGCTTGGCTAAAATAAATAACTTGGCGTGTGTGGGCCAGAAAGAGGCATTATGTGCACACCCTGAACCATTTTTTTGGCCAGTCCTGCCCTGAGGAGGGCATCTGTTCTCTTTATTATGTTTTCAGAGACTCTCAGGCCCCAAATAAATGTGCTTTAGGGCTCTGGAAGGTAAAAACTATTCATTTGGACTGGGAGAAGGGAGCTGAAAAGATCCCAGAACTCTGATGGCTTGACCTTGTCTCTGTGTAGCTATTTCCTCTTGGTCACTGGGCCTCACTGAGCCTCCTGTTCCTTGATTTTTAAATGAAGAATTTGTTTTCTATCTCAAGTCCTTTTGGCTGTAGAGCTCTGACTGTGAAGAGCCTTCAGGGCACTGCAAGGCAGACTTTGAAAGACAGGTGGGCCTGTGCCACTGGGAGATGAGGGGGCAGGCTCCAAGCTTTGGCCCTAGAGAAGAGTAGTCCAAGCTGGGCCGGGCCATTCACGGAGGGGGAGTAGCCCCCACGTCTCTGTGGAAAGGTGGGCTGTGGGCCTGCGTGGCCTCTCCTAGCTCCTGGACTACTGGTCTGTTAGTTGTGTTCCTCCCGAACCCGGAGCACACCTCTGTAGCTCACCCTGTGAGCATTAGCTTTTGTTCAGTAACAAACCACTGCAGCAACTCAGTGGTTTAAGAGAAAGTCATTTATGAGTGCTCACGAGTCTGTGTGGTTGCCCGGGTTTTCTGATCTGGGCCAGCCTCGGCTGATTTTGGCTGGACTTGCTTATGTGTGGCCGTCAGCGGGTGGCTGGATGTCTGGGATGGCCTCACTCATATGGGTGGTTTCCGGCTGGGGTGATGGGGATGGTGGGGTGGGGGTCTGTATTACTCATCATCCAGAGGGTTCGCCCCGGCTCGTCAACATCATGGCGGTAGGTTTGCAAGAACGAGAGCAGGATTGTACAAAATCTTTTGAGGCTCTGTCTCGGGACCCAAACAAGGTCAATTCTGCTACATTCTGTTGGGCAACGCAAGTCATGGGGCCGGCCCAGGTTCAAGAATGGAGCCAAACTTCCACCTCTCCATGGCAAGGGCTAGAAGAATTGTGGGCATGTTTACAATCTGTAGATGGAAGGTGGCATGCCTCTTCTTACATTACACTCCATGCTTGGTCTTCATTTGTAGTTTTCAATTTGTAACGTGCTTTCTGAGGCAATCTTGTTTTCAGATAGCACGGTGCAGTGGGCAAGAAGGATACTACTGGCTTCATTTTCGTATAAGGCAGCCGAAATTAGGTGCCTGGAGTAGTCCGCCAGGGTCATGAGGCTCAGGTGCCTGAGCCTGTCTTGCCCAGTGTGTGGAGCCCAGGGCACAGACGCTGACTGGCTTCCTAGGCTTTCCTTGACCCACACACTCCAGGTGAGGGGTGGTGGGGTGGGGAGTGGCGGGGTTCACTCACACCTTGTCCTATGTCCTGGCTTCAGACTGTTTCTTGGCTGTGGATGCCAGGTATGTGCCCAGGGGAACTTGTTCTCACCACATACAGTTGTCAAATGAGCCATAATTGATGCTTTCTAAGGTCTGTAATGTTCAGGGGGCTTTGACTTGTGAGAAGCTTCTCTCGGGGAAGAAGACTTTTCCTTTAACAGAATTGTTCAGGTAAACTTTCCAACTTCTTTCATATTGGCAAAGTGACACTCTCCTCTCAACTTAAAAAGTCTCTAAACTTTCTCACAGAATGAGAAAGGTGTCTGTCCCCTTGCACAAAGCTGACCACCAAAGCATTGAGTGTGATGCGATTGCCTCTAAATGAGTTGAATCCAGGAGCTCGAGCGTCATGGTAATGGGCCAGACACTGGGGTTTTCCATGTTTGTGAGCTGTGTACTTTGTCTAGCACTGTGGACGTGGTGGGTGGGAGGAGCTTGTAACAGATTTCTCACCTGACTTTTAAATCTTGCCAGTATTAGTCTTGAAAGCCCTCTGTTGCAGCTTTTCAGACCCAGGGCAGCATTTCAGAAAACCACACCCAATTCTGACATTTATTTATACTTCTCTTCTTCCCTGCCTTTTTCTTTAGGTGCTTGTGTGTGCTTGCTGAGTCCTCTGATGATGGGTGGAACTTGGGTGCCTGCAGCGAGTTCCCCCATCATGCAGGTGCTCTACTCCCTTGGCCTCCTGACAGCCCTGTAAAAAACGAGCCAAAGGGGTGCCTGGGTGGCTCAGCCATTAAGTGTCTGACTTTGGCCCAGGTCATGATCTCACAGTTCGTGGGTCGAGCCCCGTGTTGGGCTCTGTGCTGACAGCTCAGAGCCTGGATCCTTCTTCGGATTCTATGTCTCCCTCTCTTTCTGCCCCTCCCCCATTTGCACTTTCTCTCCCTCTCAAATATAAATTAGAACATTAAAAAAAAATAAAACAAAAAAACGAGCCTCCTCACTAATGGCTTCAAATAGGGACAGACTTCCTATGCCAGCTGTCACTTTGTCATCCTTGAGACTGTTGATCTCTGGGATCAGCCACTTCCCCTCAAATACTTTCCAAACCACAGAGGTTGTATTTGCTTGTAGTTAGTTATCTTCAGAGTCCTTTCACTGATCATGAGTTCTGGGAGGGAGGGAGGTCAGGTGGGTGGTATTTCCATTTTACAGAAAAGGAAACAGAGACGTTATATGATAAGCTAGTTGCCAGGTAGGAACCATAACTTGGTTCTCCTTGCTTTTGAACTGAGAGCTTGATGGAGCTTTGTGACACTCTGAGAGGCCACTCCCGTGCTAACAGCACAGCCTGCTGGGAGGGTTTCCCTGCAAATCTTAGGTCTCCCTCACTGGGCACGCTCCTGCTGCTGCCTTATTAGTGAAGACAATTTTGATTCTTGGATTCAAGTGGGTAAATGAGCCTTGGTGATGACACTTTTTTAAAGTCATGACACTTTTTGAATTCATGGATGAAGCTAGAATAATGAACCACAAAAACCCTTTTTTGGGAGGAAGGAGGAGTGAATTTGAAAGAGAAAGATGGAGATGAGGAAAATGAACCATCCAGGGAGATCAGTTGTAGGGAAGAGCTGATGTTGGTCAGTTCCTTCCCTCATTCGTTCATTCAGCGAATGTTTATTAGCTTCTGCTATGAATAACGAAGTGGGTCGGGTGTTGTGAAGGACACATCGCCTAGGGGCTCAGCTCTCAGAAAACTCAAGGTCTGATAGAGGAGGAAAAACAAACAATACAAGGTTAAAGGGCCACATTGGCCTTTGCTGGTTAATAAAACGGGGTGGGAGGCTAGAGCAGGGAACGACATCTGGGGCAGGAAACAGGAAGTCTGTGAAGTCAGTGGCAGCTGAATTGCTGATGATATGATGGATGACCCATCAAGAGGTCCCTGTGTACATTATGCCTACTGGCTCATTTTTTTTTTTTTTACCTCTTGTTTGTTGATTTATTGAGGTATAATTAACATACAATATTAGTTTTCAGTGTACAACATTGATTCAACAATTCTATGCATTACTCAGTGCTCATCACGGTAAGTGTAGTCACCACCTGTCACCAAACAACATCATTACAGTGTTATTGACTATATTCCCTCTGCTTTACTTTTCGTCTTATAACTAGAAGTTTATACCTCTTAATCCTCTTCATCTGTTTCACCCGTCTCCCTACCCATCCCTCCTCTGGTGACCATCAGTTTGTTCTCTATATTTAAGAGTCTTTTTTTTTTGTTTGTTTTTCTTTGTTCATTTGTGTTGTTTCTTAAATTTCACATGTAAGTGAAATCATACGGCATTTGTCTTTTTCTGTCTGACTTATTTCACTTAGCAGAATACTCTCCAGGTTCGTCCACCTTTTGCAAAAGGCAAGAGCTCGTTCTTTTTTATGGCTGAGTAATATTCCATTATATATGTACTGTATCTTCTTATCCACTCATCCATTGATGGACATTTAGGTTACTTCTGTATCTTGGCTCTTGTAAATAATGATGCAGCAGAGGGCTGCATAGATCTTTCAAATTAGTGTTTTTGTTCTTTTTGGGTAAATACGCAGAAGTAGAATTACTGGATCATACGATAATTCTATTTTTAATTTTATTGAGGAACCTCCATAATGTTTTACACAGTAGCTGCACCACTTTGCATTCCCACCAAACAGTGCAATAGGGTTCCTTTTTCTCCACACTCTCGCCAACACCTGTCATTTCTTGTTTCTGAGTTTAGCCATGCAGACAGTTGCAAAGTGAGATTTCATTGTGGTCTCATTATTCAGGTCTTTTGCCCATATTTAATTGGATTATTTGTGTTCTGGGGGTTGAGTTTCCTATTGACTCACTTAATCCTTACAAATCTGTGAGCTTTTGACACATGAGGACATTAAAGTACAGAGAGGTGAAGCAACCTCCCTGATGTCACTCAGCCACTAAGTGGCAGAGTGTGTGCTCTTCTTAACCACTGCACTGGGGTCTCTTGAGGCTAGTGAGATCTAGAGGAGCAGAGATATGGGGAAGAGAATTCCATGGATTGTGCAGGTCTTGGCCTGGGATTACTGCCTATGGGTGTCCCATTCCTCACTCGTAGCCAGGCCAGCTTCCTTTGTGAGTTTTGCTGGACCCTTTGAAGAGCTGCGGTGCTGGAGGACTCCCGTGAGGGTCCCAGGGGCTGGTCTCCAAGGCTGGCCATGGACCTCAGTGATCTCAACACTTTTGTCCTCACTTTCTTGTCCGGACGTGTTGTGTGTTTCTGCTGAAAGGTGGCAGCAGACAGATCCTCTACAACTTTTCCAGTTCTTCATGGAATGAAGTGTGATAAACTCTAATCTAAAAGATATTTAAAGCAGTAAAGCAGAGGATTTTTTTTTTCACACTAAAGACTATAGTAGTGAGATGTGGAAAGTACTATAAATGTCAAGAATTTTTAGTACTGTAGTTAAGCGACACTCTGAGAAGTGTTGAAAAATGGGACTGAATTCTAAAAAGCAGCCAAAATAATGAAGAACTTGAATATAATGATTTATAAAGAGTAGTGAGCCTATTTGAGTAGGGGCAGACGGACGCATAAATAATTCCTATAAATATATGAAGGCTGGGGATATTTAAGAATTAAATAGTGGGGAAAGTTGAACCATTTTAATTAGTAAAACTGATTTGATGTGGAAATGCAAATCATTTGAATATGTTCACGTTTGGGCTCATCTCATCCTGGACCCGTGTTACTGAAGCTGAGATTGAAACCCCTGAAAACGATGGAGGCTTCTAAGCCACTTGCTGCCACTAGATGCCCATGGTGGTGGGAAGTTCCCAATCTGGGTCGGTCTTCCTAGCACCCAGCTTCCTCTCCGTTATTTCCAACCTTTAAAAGGCTTCTTCCATTCTGTTCTTCAAAAAAGGCTGGAGATCCCAGCCAGAGCTGGGGGTCCTCAGGGAGCCCTTGAGGCCGGAGCTACAGAGAGCATGGAGTGGCTTGGTTAGCCCAGCTTGCCTCCTGCAGCTCTGCTTTAATTGGTAAAGGTAGGATGGTTCCCCCAACACCAGGAGAGCAGGTGGAGCCTCTGGACGTCCCCAGATAACACGTGGTGAGTTAAGTCTTCACTTGGTAGGATGCAGTGGCAGGAGACACCTTTTTCATTTTTTCCTTTCACCATGTCCTGGGCATGGAGGGTTGCCACAATTGCTGCACGAAGTTCTTACACAGGATTTGGGATAAAACTCTCGCCATCACATACCTCGTGCTGGAGGTTATCTGCTGGACAGCAACCCAGCCACGTGTGTGTGTGCGCCACAGGGCGGAGAAGGTACATGTTCAAGGGCTGTGTCTTCGGACTTCGGTTCTAGGAACTGAACCCACGACTAGACAGTCCACCAGCCCCCTCCCCTCAAACACACATACTTAAGAGGGTGGACATAAAGGCCTGTGGAGGGTCACCCTGACAGTTTTCTTTCTGCTTTCAGATCCCATTCAGGATGCTTCCAGGACAGGAATTGGCAAGAACCTTTTGGATGGTCCCCCAAGAGTGCTTCAGCCCTTCCTGACAAACAGAGCCAAGGTGGCTGGGGTGCCCCCAAGCCTGCCCCTGCCGGTGAGGAACACCATGCTGGCCGCTGCCCTCTTCCCAGAGTTCCTGAAGGAACTGGCTGCCTTGGCCCAGGAACACTCCATTCTGTGCTACAAGATCCTGGGTGACTTTGAGGACTCCTGTTGTTAGTTTTTTGTTTTTGTTTTTTAATAGAGGTTCTTGTTTTTAAGGTTTTAGCGTCTTGACTGAATGTTAAATGCAAAGCTGCTTACAAAAATTTCTTTGATATTTCCTGACAATACTTGATTTGTGGGGAGGGAAATTTTCTGTGTACCTCCTCTTTCTCTAGCCGGGTCTTTCCACCTCCTCTAGAATGTAAGTCTCATAAGCTGGTAACTCCTTGGGCAGGTTTTCTTTTCTTTTTTACTCCTCAATTTTTTGGTATTCTCCCATCCCTTTGAGTCACTTATCTTGCAGCTTAGAGCTTAGATCACACCAAGCAAATACTGGGGTTCCATGATTTCTGGAAGTACCCCGGGTTAGAAGGCTCAGCTCTTCAAATAACACATGAATGAACATCTGTTCCGGTTGCCTTCTGCATTTTGGTTTCCCTTTTCTAAAAGGGAAGAATAAAGATGGGGCCCCGCTTTCCTCTATCACACAAGCATGTATCAGGTGTCCCTTTGCATCTTACTTCCAAGATTTGCACTCTGCCCAACATGTGTTGCCTTATGTTGCAGGCAAATCCATTGGTTTCAGCTGTTTGCCTGGGAAGTCAGATGTCATCGTGGATAATTTGGAATGCAGGGAAATTTTCTTGTTGCTTGAGAGCTTTCTTTAATCAGTGTATCACTTCCTAAACACTGGAAATAGTTTTATTTTAGTAAGATTTGCGCAAAATGAAATCTACATAGGCAAACCGTTACATTAGTTTTTAGAAGTTTGATCTGGTGGAGAAAGTGGGGTATCATATACTCGGGTATCATTGTTTTGTGTTTTATAAAAGATTTTGTGAAGCTATTTCACAGTGGGTTTTGGGGGGGTAGGGAGGAGTATGGGGCAGGGGAAAGGATAAAGGTGAACTAAATGAAATCTATAAAAACATTGGCAATTATTTTAGATCCTGTTTGCTTTTTCTAGTATGTTGCACTTTGTAGAGAAACAAGCACTGTACACTTTGGGACCTGGAATGTAAATGCAGACGGGTCACAGGAAGCCCTGCGAAGCCAAGTGCCTGCTGGTGACTCACTACACACAGAAATGCTGCCTTCTGAGTAATGGGGTTCATTAGAAGGCCCCCACACGATGCATTAGTGCCTCTGTGCTGCTTTGCAGCCTGCTCCAGGCATAATTATACTTAGCGCCACCGGTCTCCTTAAACCACCAAAGAGGGGGAAACACACACAATAACTGTCTGCTAAAAAACGAGACCATGAACAGCTGATATTTGTGGACATTGAGTTCCACTCCCCTCTATTTTGAGCAGGGGAGGAGCACATAACAAGGGTGGGCCTCCCTGTTTGGGGGGAAACGGGAAGTCCCAGTTCTTCCCAGTTCTTGTTTTCTTCGTGGGCATCGCTGCTGAGCCCTGGGGGCAGCCACAGGTCTGGCAGTTGTGCCTCAGGAGGACTGGTATGATTTTAATCAGGCCCGTAGCAGAGGAGGGCAGTGGAGGAAAGAATCCCATCTGAGACCTTGCAGAGCAGAGGCTGCCCTTCAGTGTTTCACGGTTCTTGAAGCAGCTTTGTATTGAGAGCTAGCCAGCCCATGGAATGTGGACCCCAGGAGACCTGGCCTGGGCAAGGAGGCTCTCAGCGGCCAGCCTCACAGTGTTTCTAAGTCTAAGCAAGAAACCAAAGATGTTGACCTATTGTATGTTTCTGACGTCACATTTGTCTGTCTTGGAAAATGGTTTGCCCAGCTGTGGTACAGCCGCAGGAATGTATGAGGCCCAGCGGACTGGCCTGGCTTCCTGGCACAGCCTTGTATTCGCAAACCCCCAGGTCTCCACTGGAAAAGAAGGTGGCTCAAGGTAGATTAAGAAAGAGGAACAGGAAGATGGAATGTAAGCTGTAATTTATTATCCTCTAGCTTCGTTTTGGACAAGTATTTACCTACCAGTTTGGACTGAACAGGTACAGAAAATGCTGCAGTCATACCTGGAAAGTGTGTTCATTGGCTTTTTGGCTTGATTTACGCTTCTCTCCATTATCTGGTGATGGTGTTGATTCTTCAGTCCATATTGCTTTATTATAGACCACTGTAGTCCCCTGTGTAGAGGGTGCCCTTTTGGAAAGAGATTGCTTTTGTACCTCTTAGCATTTTTAAAAATAGGTACTGAACTAGACTTACCTTAAAGAAGGGCAGAGATGATCAGTGTCGGGGGTGGGAGACAGTAAAATTAGCTCCCGTGGTGGGGTGCCGGTAGCAAACTCACATGATAACCCTATTTGGAATTGGAAACTGGTTCATCTTTCTGCATCCATTATAGGCCTCCTCCACAGTATTGTGTTCAGGGGTTTTCAAAATGAAGTCAGAAATCTGACTTGGAAATGCATTATAGAGAACTGGAAAATCCACACGGTGGAGTGAAACAGCCAGGTAGCTTAGGTAAGGATGGTTGTGGCAATAGTGTGGACATACCAGAGGAAAAACAGCAGAGTCCTGAGGCTATAAATAAGAGAAAAGCAACTCATCTCAGGGGGGGGGAGAGGGGGGGTGGAGGAATGAACTTTGATCTAGGAAGATATGGAGATACTGTACCGTAGGTGGGTGACAATGGTAATTCCTTGGTGGGAAAAAATCATGGTAAAAATCATAAAGTAGTCAGAGGGGCCTGCAGAAATTCTTTTTTGTAATGTAGGGAAAATTTGTAAAGATATTTGGCGTGCTTTAAAATGTGGTCCGAGAGTGTGGTCCCTGCTCCATACGACAGGCTCCCACTCAGATGCTGTGCTACCTGTTGGCAGGCACAGTGGGCACAAACCCTTTGCTGCAGGCCTGAGACCAGAGTCCCTGTGTCTAGCCTGATGGTCCTGGGCAGTGAAAACAACTTGAGGATTCCTGGAACATCACACATGCCTTTCAATTCCCAGTGCAGGGTCTGAGGTAAAGTTCCAGATGGAGTGAATTTTATGATTCAAAGTATATGTGTGCACTGGGATATTTAAAATAGATCTTTAGAAACAACCAACTAAATTTTAAAAATTATAAACAAATTCCAGGTGAATTTAGGCTAACGTACAGCTTTTGGGGTATAAACAATTTCCCAGCCATGAAAGGGGGGTGCCAGAGTAACCAATTAAAGAGATGTGATTTCCTTTATTAATAGATAACTTCCTTTCCTCAGTATTTAAAGGAATTCTGGAATTTTCCCCTCTTTACCCAGTACTGGCTTGGAAAATACTTTGACGTATTGATGGCTTGGAACTGAGGTCTCTGTCACATGTAGGGAGGATGCATTCAGTTCTTTTTTGGGTCCTCGGGAGTATCTTTTGCTCAGCAAGTGCCTTTGATTTAGGTCATACATAATTGTTGGTTTTCAGTCCATTAAGAAAGACCTCACAGAGCTTTGGAATTATGGGGAGAGCATCCTCTTACAAATAGACTCCAGAAACAGGATACGAGAATATTTGGGTTGCCTGTTCAGTTTGGGTGGCCAGTGGTACTCAGGGTTGAAAATGGTCTCTGAATCGGCTGGGATGCCACGGTCATGTGGGTTGATGTCCAGATCTGGTTGGAGGTTCTGCGCCGTGGAAGCACCGCTCATTCGGAATCGGGATCGGGCGTGTCTAGATTCGTGAGGGAAGCGCTGCCCTGGCTGGGGTGGGCCGTGTCACTGGTGTGAGGTTAAGGATGTGCAGCATCAGCTACAGCTCTCATTTGAGGGCAGTACAGTTTAATTGCTCATTACTAGTCCTGTGTTTACGGAAGTGGCTGTCAAGCTTGCCATTTTTATGAAACGCTTTATTGCAGGACAGCTATTACTGCACGTGCTACTTCAAGCCACTGGCCCAGACCAGTGTAATTTGTGGCTTGCTGCGAAGCTCAGCCAGCTCTGCAGTGTTGGCTTTTCCTGGAGGCAGCGGTCCTCTGGGGGCTGAGGCCACACCAGCTTTAAGTCATTGAGAAGATATTCTCAGGCCCCTCTCGCTTCAGCCATCATTCTATAAATCACGCAGCACTAATTCTCCATCAAATCACAGCTTAGAACACTGTCAGACCAGTGTATACTCCACCCTTAAATCACATCATTGAGGAAATATTTTAAGAAAATGGAGTGGACTCTTTTTTTCCTTTTTGAATGACCATCATAAACCTAATGCTTTAGGAAGAGCTCTCGGAAGACTAAGAATTGTTTTCGGGATAATTTTGCCTCAGTAAATCTTCCCCACGCTCAGGCATTTATTAGGCCATTACTTGTTTTGGAGGACAGATTATCCTGGCAGCTCGTTAACTGGATAACGAGTTATCCAGGGCTTTCGTGAAAGGTTTTTGGTGACGTTCTATGGGGAAGAAGACAGGGATAGGGTTGGGGGCGGGGGTGGCGTAAGTCTTCAGTTCTTTGGCTCTGCACTTTGGATCTGAAGACAGATGATGATTTTGGCTAGGACTGACCCTTCCCATCCCATTGGGTCATTGTGAATTTTGTTCCTGTCTTATGACATGAGAGTAAACCTAACTCATTGTCAGCCACACCGGTTACAAGACTGCCAATAAGCTCTGTCAGTATGCATTCGATATGTATTTCAGGCATCTTTTGGGGAGCTTAGATTTACTATGTCATTTCAGAACCTGACAAGGGTGATGGAAGCTCTCAGGCCAGATTATAAATTTCATGGAGCTGAGGCTGCAGAAGTCTGTGCTTCTGAGTGTGTCTATGGACTTTTTATTGGGACGAGTCTGCAGAAGGCTTGTAACAAGGCCCCTTTTTGGCCTGGAGATATTTTAAGGGGGAATTTAGTGTTGATCTTAAATGCTTTTTGCTAAATTATTTGATTAAGGGAGGCAAGGAGAGAGGATTTCAATCACATTCTAGCCATCTTTCAATTTAGGGTCATCTGTGTTCAAATAATCCATGAATACATTTGTCTGAAATCTGCCAGAGAAGCATGGCCGCCATTTCCACGCTGCTTTTGGTAATGGATAAATAACATGACCCTTGAGATAGACTTAGTGTTTTGCCCCCGCAACACTCGGTAGAGTCCTTGAAATGCAGCAAATTCAGTAGAAATGAAAAACACAGTATGAATTGTGGGTTATTCCCATAAGCTGTGTACTGAATTAATCAACTAACTCAAAGCTCCAGGAGGGTGTGTACTTTCAAAAATTTCATAGCCTTCTTGCAGATAAGCAATAATTAGAAAAGCGGGGCGTGTGTGTGTGTGTGTGTATAAGCTCAGCTAAAACATGCTAAACTTGTTATAAATAATGATTAGCTTTTTTTCTGAGGCATGTATACTTTGAGAGGAACAGAAGTTCACCTTGGTGCATATGCCTGGACAGAGTCAAGAAGCTCCTTCTTAGACTCCTGTCCAGAATTCAAAGCCTACTTGTTGGCAGCACCAGCCTCTCATTCTAAAAGGCTGTCCACTAATTTGGTTTTATAAACTTAATCAGCATTCGCTAAAGTTACTCTGTGCCAGGTACCATGCTAAGTGTTGAGGCTGAGCTTCCTTTCTGCCAGAACCAGCCAGCCAACCAACCAGCCAACTTCCCTGTCAACCAACAGAACACATGGTTTGGGCATGACCAGGTCCGGTTGGTTCACGCCATCCTGGGGATGAGCCAGTTTTCCAGCACATTTCCCTCCCAGCCTACAGGTGTGTGGATTCCAATGACAGATGGCAGTGGCTTCACATGACACCAACTCACACATCTTGTGATTTTTGTTGGAACAGCAACGAACCAGACTAAATTCTCACTCATGCAAAGATGTATTTAAAACTGTACTTGAGACCTGTTTATGAGTAGAGCCATACTTTGTGAGTTTCTGTTATGCAAATAGGTCTTTTGAATATATAGTCAGGTTCTGAGTAAGATAATCTGAGCTGTGTTTTGATTTTACTTTTTCTATTAGCAGTTATAACTGTCTAATTCTCGGGATTTCAGAAGTGGGCATTCAAGACCACGGGCAATTGTCAGAGGTAGACAGCACTATAAAGATCAGGTGTCTCCATGGCATTTTTCTCTGGAAATGATCAGTCCATAATACAGTCTACACTGGACATAATTTTGGTGATTTGTCTTCATCTGGCTGCCTCCCCTCCCCCATCACCCATTTTAGCAAGGCCTTGATTTAAAAGGGTCTGGAAAGATCCTCCAGTATCATCTTTTGTAACATTTGATTACCAAGAAGCCAGACCTTTGGTGAAAATGGGAGTTTTTAAGACAAAACTGAACCGTATTATTCCTGAGAAAACCATCCTGCCAGAATCCAGGCTCAGGCTGTCCTGCCCCATTTGTAATTCAGACTTGCAAAGTGCAGAGAGAAGTTGGACTCAGCCTCTCTCTCTATAGAAAAGAGAATATTCTACTTCTAGGTCCAGTAGGTCGTCAGTGTTGGAACAGAATGCACGCGGAGCAGGCACGTGGTTGCTGCGTGAGGTAACACATTCTCGCACAATTCTGAGCCATTCTGTCACAATTTTTTAAAAACCTTACCTCTTCTTGTCTGGTTTCCTTTCTGTCCCTGCTCTTTTGGCTGGGTAGGGGGGATGCTTAGGGAAGTCCTGAGCAACTGCCAGCACCTGGGGCACCACTCATGGTCACCCTGGCGATGGGGAAGGTCTGCTTCTCTCTGGTTCCCCAGCTGCCACCGTTCATGACGGCAGTGCTTGGACTCTTCTTGGTACGCTGGAGAAGCCAATGTAAAATCAGAGCCTCCGAAGAGCCTGTTCTCTTATGCCACGGTTTGACACGTTACAAGACAGCATTTGTGAAAGTGGTCTTTGAGCACCATGAGTCAGAGGTAGCAAAGGCACGCGGCGCACACAGGGGTGCTCTGGTGCGTTACACAGAAGCCGCATTACTGTCACGAGAACAGGGGTGAAGGCGACCCAGCCTTCACGGAGAGGTTGTTAACTGCACCACAATTACTGCTAAAGGTCAAGATTTTGATGTACTAGTTTATAATCTTATTCTTTCCAGGGAAAACAAATCAATTTAATGTTACATTTTTTGTTTTAATCTTTTTTCGGCTTGAGGGTGGGGTGGGCGGGGGTCCTTGTCAGCTGCACAATCTTTGACGTGTAAGTTAATTTTTTATGTGATATTTCAGTATATATTTTGTTCATTAAATTTATTTGAAAACTTTTTTTTTTTTGTTTATTACAAATAATGTTTCATTTACTCTCAGACCTCCCAGCAATCCCTGGGGAGCTGAGCAGGTGGGCAATGTCACTTTTACTCCGTGCATGAGTGCGGGCTAGTGAGACTAATGCCCTCCTTCCCAGCCCCGCAGGGCCTGTCTAGACAAAAGTGTGTTTGGCATGTCTGTCCTGTTGTGGTTTTCATCTCCACTCATCTACTTTCAGGTCTAAAATACTGCATCCAGACCATGGTCCCTCTTGACCACTGCTCATGCCTGGCACCTAGAGCAGTGCCTGGCTTTTGGAACTTACTCAGAAATACTTGTTAAAGAAGTGCGGGATGGGAAGTTTTCTTAGAATAGTGACAGCACTTGAAACCGTGTGTTTCACTTAGTTTAGAATTACTAAGGCCTGGAACGTGCTATTCCTTCAGCACCACTGCGGCCATCCTGGAACCACTTCCAGGTCAATGAGGCAAACGGGGCTGTCGCTGCTGGTCTGTGCAGGTAGCATCCCAGGGCAGAGTCGGGTCTGGCCCTGGGTGGCCTACAGCTCTAGCTGGGGCTAGAGACTGGGAGGCGCCAGCAGGTTGAGCCCCTGGATGTCAGGTTTCACGGGCTCAGGTTCTCAGTCATGGCCGCTCTGCTGTCCCTCAGGCAGAGACGGACCCAGAACATCTCATGACGACAACTGCTTCTCCAGGATCTCCTTTATCACCGTAGGATCTGCTCGGTTGTGAGTTACTTTTCGTACCAACCCAATCAGTTTGTTTATGGCTCTGGGGTTTCCCTTCTTCATGTCCATTACCTTTAAAGATAGATAGAAACTGTTTTAGAGGAGAAAATAATGATATGCATACTTAAAAATGCTAAATTAAGGTTTATGTTTGCTGACACTTAAACTTCATTTCTTTTGTTTTCCTGTTAGGATTAGATATAAAATGAGAAAAGGAAAGGGGGGAGGTGTGAACTTCTGAGGAGGTTTCTAGGCTCCCATCACAGGGATGTCTGCCACTGTGCTCTCTGATTAAAGCGGACAAGGAGAGGGCTGTGTGCATGACGAGGGACTGTCCACAGCAAGGGAGCTGGAATGCAGGAACGAGGGTGCTCTCCTGGGTGCCACAGTGACACAGGGACACAGAGCTTCTCAGTCTTGGGGTGAGTAACCCTAGATGAACGATCTAGTCTAGTCAGAGTGAGGTCCTTCTCTAATCCTCCCGTGGTCAGCAGGCACGGAGATGCCCGGCTTTCCTTCTCCCCCACTGCCTGCCAAGGACACGTGTTTGTCAGAAGACAAATCCGAAAAATGGCAGCTGTCCCGGAGCACGGGGGTTGGGGAGTGCACTGTGGTGGGCAGGATGGGGACAACAAAAGAAGGAGGCGCCAGCTTCCTATCAAGTAGCCACTGACTGTCAGGGCCACCCACCCCGAGCTCCGGCTCTGCGGCATCTTGATGGGTAATAACGTCTGTGGGCATCTGTACTCAGTGCCGCAGGACGAGTCCGAAACTGAAAGTGTGTCTTTATCAGTCACTACAGATGAGGCAGGAAGACGGAGATTGCTGGACCCAGCACAAGCTCATTTTCCTTATCGAGAGCTCTTTTCAGAGCTGTTAGTGTCCCCGGCAAGCCGATGGGTGGGTGGGTATTATTCTGAAAGAGATGCTAGCAATTTTTTACCCACTAAAAAATCTCTAGACAGTATGATTAGACTTGGGGAGGAAGGGATGGCACTCATTTTCGCTTTTATATTTTGTTCTGTGCTCAGAACACAGAATGACTTGGTTTTCAGCTACGCTCCTGTCAAGGATTTTCTCCATAATTTACAAGTAATTTCCCTTTCTGCCTTTCTTCCCACCTTTTTTAGGCATGGAGCTAAAGTGTTTGCCCATCTTTCTTCCCTTTCTGCAGTCATGCCTGCTGGCTTGTTAGTGAGCGGTCTCCTTATAAAGCAGAGTGAGTGGTAACAGACTCAAAGTGCCCGCCCTGGGAGAGGGTGCCGTGCTGGGAGGTCAAAACTTGGATCCGGTGAGCCCAATAAACACCCCTGTAAACTGAACGGCATGAGATGAGACTCCAGGGGTGGATTTTCCTTCTAGGAAATGTGGTATTTTTCTAATAGTCACCAAATTTCAGCTCTTGACCTTAGCTAAAAACGGATAAAGTGTTTTAGGGAACTGCTGAGCAAGCTGGGCCGGCCCTAATTAGGAAGTGCCTCTGGGCGGTGAAAGGGAGCAGTGGAGAGGCTCCTGGCCGAGTCCTCGGGCTGGCCCTGTCCTGGCCTGACCAGGAGAGTAGACCCTCTCCACCCTGTGGTGACCGTTAATTACCACTTGAGGATGCCCCTCCATCACGGCGTGGCACACCCGTTCCAGTGCCTCTTCATCCTGCATCAGTTCAAGCTTCCTTTCTGAAACAATCTGTGATGGAGTCTTCCCTTTACTCCTCCACAATTCCTCAAACACCTACGGGCCAGAGGAGGGAGAGAGGGGCGGAGAAGTGAGGACCTGCTCCACCTGCCACGGCCAGGACAAGCGGAGCTGAGGTAGAGCAGATTCAGTGAATTCCCAGATGTGCGGGCCTGCCCCATGGGAATTCCCTGTCTCTCCTGAAGCACCTGGACAGTCTACCCAGGCTGGGCTGTTCCCACAGAACAGAGCCTGAGACGGGGCCCGTGGGGACAGCGGGCCCTTCCCACTCATGGACTCAAACCACATGGCCGGGAGAGGCTGGGAGGAGCTGGGAGCTGAGGACTCACAGGGCCCCTGCCGCCAGGAGTCAGAGGGCCAGGGCCAGCTCTGCTTCACGCCCGCTGCATAAATTAGTTGAGGTGCTATTATTCTGTTGAAGGCAGGGGCAGCACAGGCTGAGGGATGTAACCACTGCACTGAGATGAAGTCCAGAAAGCTCAGCCTGCTGGGAATTATGATTTCAGGGGGGCAAGAAAGTGGCCCCATAATAAGTTACAAAAGGGAAAATAACTAAAAACATAAATCATAATCCACAGGGGCCTCTGCCATGCCACGTTTATCCCCTACTGGTGGAGCTAGACCCAAATCTGGCTACGATAACGAATGTTAATGGTGTATTTTTCTACCTAAAAAAAAAAAATAAATAAATAACAGCAACAAATCCCCAGACTTATCAAAGTTGGGGAAGAAAGGAATACATTTTTAAAGAAGGCATTTCCTACGGTAGTTTTCCTCCTTCCTCTTGTTTTTCTAGTGTAAACGCAAGGGGTGGGGCATGGGCTCCCCTGTTAGTCTCCTGCGGCACCTCCTTCACCTCTGCCAGCAGTCAGTACTGAGCACTGGATGTTCCTTATGAACATTCGGGCTCAGGACAGGCCAGCCAGGAGCCATTCCTCCCAGAAATATGGAGCTTGTCAATAATTAGCACACAGGGCAAAGCAAATGAAGGGGAAGATGCTTTGTATCTCTGCAGGGCTCAAAGGTTTCCCCAGTCTGGACAAAGACAAACCACAAATATTTACCGTGGCTACAATGGTCCGTGCACCTTCCGCTCAGCTATCAGAATACTCACGGTGACTGTGGCTGAGCGGTGTCTTTGGTGGGTCTTCCTAGAAGCCCCCCCGCAGGGCACCCCTCTGGCTACTGCTGCACAGGCCTGGCTGCTTAGAGAAAACCTGTCCCTGCTCTTAGAAAAACACGGACTATATATGCGTCCAACCAACTTTTCAACTATTTTTTCAGCCAGAAAATGGGTGAGGCATTGAGGGAGAAGGGCTCAAAAACAGGTAAGAACTTTCCCTGCCTTCAACAAACTTCTTAGTGGAGCATCAGCAGCATAGGGGTAACGGAACAATGTGTAAGGCAGAAAAGCAAGTCTGAAGAATTTCTCTCATCTACTTCTTAGATTAGAAATTTCTTAAATTTCTTAAACTGCAAAACATTGTTTCTAATTATATGAGTAAATACATGTTGGGGAGGATAGGATGAAAATGGCGGAGTAAGAAGATCCTGAATTTGTCTCCTCCCAAGGACACACCAAAACTACAACTACATCCAGAACAATCGTCTCTGAGGACAACCTGAAGACTAGCAGAACAGCTCTTCCACAACTAAAGACCTAAAGTGAGGTGGGCAGGAGGGGCAGAGACGTGGTCTAGTCAGGACCTACACGCCTGGCGTGGCAGTCCACAAGTAGGAGGGAAATCAATGCAGAGGTCCCCCCTGAGGAGTTTAGGATTCAGGCTCGTCAGGCACTGCTGCCCCGGGGACCTGTACTGGGAAGATGAGCCCCCCAGTAATGTGTGCCTTTAAAAATCAGCAGGGTTTAGCTCCGGGAGAGCACAAGGGCTACAGGAAATGAGGTTCTGCTCTTAAAAGGTTGGAGTACAAACTCACTCTGACACCCAGCTCAGGGGCAGCCGTTTGAAAAGTGCCAGGCTGGGGTGCCTAGGTGGCTCAGTAGGTTGAGCGTCCGACTTTGGCTCAGGTCATGATATTGTGGTTCGTGAGTTCAAGCCTGTGAGTTCAGGCTCTGTGCTGACAGCTCAGAGACTGGAGCCTGCTTTGGATTCTGTGTCTCCCTCTTTCTGCCCCTTCCCTGCTTGCATTCTCTCTTTCTCTCTCAAAAATAAACAAAGGTTAAAAAAAAAAAAAAAGAAAAGAAAAAAAGAAAAGTGCTTGGGCCATATAAGGAGGAGATTTATTGACTACCCTTAGGGTATGTGCCAGAGGTGCATGGATTTGTGGGAACTTTCTCGTGCAATGGAGGTGGGCACCATCTTTGATACTCTCCATCTACCCTGCAAGCACTGCTCAACCCACCCAGATGTTCCCCTGAGGTGCCCCTCCAAGCAGCTCCTGTGCACCACCCCTGGGGAGTAGTCGGGATCAGCACATACCTTCTTCATTCCTCAAGACTGGGCAATGTTGCTGATCTGCTTAGTACATAGAAACAAATACAGAGAGTCGGGCAAAACGAGGAGACCGAGGAATATGTTCCAAACAAAAGAACAAGACAAACCTCAAAAAAAGAACTAAACAGAATGGAGGTCAGCAATCTACCTGATAAATAGTTCAAGGTCACAGCCATAAAGATGCTTACCAAACTTGGGAGAAAAATGAATACAGTGAGAACTCCAACAAAGAGAAAATATGAAAAAGAGCCAATGAGAGCTAAATATAATAACTGAAATGAAAAATACAGTAGAAGGAAGCAAGAGCAAATATGAATCAGCACCTGGAAGACAGGGTAGTGGAAGTCCCCTGAGATGAACAGCAAAAAGAAAAAAAGAATCTTAAAAGCAGCAAAAGGAAAGCACCTAGTTATGGACAAGGGAAACCCCATAAGACCATTAGCTGATTTTTCCACAGAAATCTGGTAGGCCAGGAGGGAGTGGCATGATATATTCAAAGTGCTGAAAGGAAAAAACCTACAACCACAAATCTACCTGGCAAGGTTATCATTTGGAATTAAGGAGAGAGTTTCTGAGAAACAAAAGCTAAAGGAGTTCATCACCACTAAACCAGCTTTAGAAGAAATGTTACAGGGGCTTTTGGAAACAAAAAAGGAAAGGCCACAACTATAAGAGAACTGTGAAAGGAAAAAATCTCTGATAAAAGCAAACATACAGTAAAGGTAGTATGAAGGTTAAAAGACAAAAGTAAAATCAGCTAATCTATAAAAATTAGTTAAGCAATATACAAAAAGACTGAAAATATGACATCAAAACAATGGAAAGGGGAGGAAAACCATAGTGCTTGTAGAATGTATTTGAACTTAGGTGACCATTAACTTAAAACAGACTGCCATATATGTAGGGTATATTATGAACCTCATGGTAACCGTAAACCAAAACCTGTAATAGGCACACACAATAAAAAGAAAAAGAAATTCAAACATAACACTAAAAGTCATCAAACCACAAGGGAAGAGAACAAGAGAACAAGAAAGGAATAGAAAAGAACTACAAAAACAACCAGCAACTAATAAAATGGCAATAAGTACATACCTACCAATAATTACTTTAAATGTAAATGAATTAAATGTTCTATTCAAAGAACATCAGGTGGCTGAATGAATTAAAAAAACAAAACAAAACA